GTTACCGCTGCTGCTGGGTTGAGATTCACGAGTCCGGAGCGGAATTAAAAACACGACATTCATTTAAGGTCATCATGTGTTTTGTGAGCAAATGCTTTTGCATATTCGTAGTGTTTCCTCCCTTAAATAATAATAATAATGGACTGGATTTATATAGCGCTTTTCAAGGCATCCAAAGCGCTGAAATATCTACTTTGCAAGTATTGCAAGCTGCCCTGTTGTCATCCGTTCTCGTAAAGTATCACCAAACTTTTGAGCGTTTGAGCCGCTTAGGCGCTGTGTTTCCTGCCAGGTAAATGACGCTCCGCAACGTGGTGACGTCATTCGGGCGACTGGAATCGATAAGGGAATCGTTTGCAAAAATTCTCAACAAGAACCGGGTTTCGATACCCATCCCTACCCATGACCTAGTCGAACATTCATACAAGCACTTTTCTTTGCAGGAGTGCTGGACTTTTTTCATATTTTAACTAGTCAAGACGTTTTTGATGTATTACAGATTCTGATTTATTTTGATGGTAATAAAGGTCTGTGAAAATTTCAGTCTTTTATCTCTAAAATGTTTTCAGATGTTCAAAAACTGCCTTAGATATCAATGTGTGAACAAAAGGCCTGAAAGTGGGTTAACAGACACATCTACCCATTGTCTTCCACTTATCCAGTTCAGGGTCTTGGAAGGTTTTGTGCCTATCCCAGCTGCTGTGGAGTGAGAGTGAGCGTACAGCCTGGTCAGGTCACCAGTCTGTCACGGTGCTAATACAACAGTTCTGACCACGATGCCCTCATAATATTTGTGGGCAGTCTCATCAGCAACATGGTCATTCCAGCCAAGACAATTATAGTTTAGTATCAGAAATGAAACTGATCACAACAAATAAACAAGCACATCATTGATAAACTGGATCTGGGTCCAGCTTCCACCAACAAAGTGGTTACACAAATTTGTCTAGAGTGTTTTCATTGTCTTATTTTTTCAGACAGTCCACTCTGTTTTAATTTCCCCGCAGGAAATGTGTCCTTCTGGCTTTACTGTTCTTGTTGGTGTGATTGATAAAAGCAAAACTATTGAAGTACTAAAATTCCAATTAATTGAACAGATCAAATGAGCATTGTTATAGAGTTCTTTAAATATAATTCAGTAACTTGCTGAACTGGTATTTGTTGGTAATGTCTTCCAGAAAAAACATGTCCTATAGGATGGAGTAAGTTCATCCATAACTGCTATCTCCTCTCTGAAAGATCTGATTCCTGGAATGAAGCCAGAAGGGACTGCAGAGCCAGAGGAGGAGATCTGGTGGTTATTGACAGCCCTGAAGAACAGGTACAGTGTTTATGTATATGAAAGGCCAGGAGTGACAAAATGAATTAATTAAACACACCATTAAATAATTAATTAAATGTTTCATTAATTAATTAAAATTGGAATTAATTAATAAATAAATATTTAAGTAATTAATTACATGCCTATTCATCTATTTAAAACGTTTAATAAATTATTTAATGATGTCTTTTTTTAATTCATTTTGGGACTCCTGACCCTCACCTGTAATTATATATATATAAGGACTTCGATTACAACTGGGATCACTGTTACCTTCACCCTCCATCATCTTCCCGAGCTATTTCTCGAGCTTCTCGTGTTCCTTCTTTCTGATGTTGCTATCATTCGGAACCGCTACATCGATCACTACGGCCGTCTTCTTCCGTTTGTCTACCACCACTGTGTCCGGTTGGTTAGCCACCACCATTTTGTCCGTCTGTATCTGGAAGTCCCACAGGATCTCAGCTCGGTCATTCTCCACCACCCTTGGGGGCGTCTCACATTTTGACCTCGGGACTTCCAGGTTATACTCGGCACAGATGTTCCTGTACACTATGCCGGCCACTTGGTTATGGCGTTCCATGTATGCCTTGCCTGCTAGCACCCTGCTGTTATGTGCTGGATTGTCTCAGGGGCATCTTTACATAGCCGGCACCTGAGGCCTTGCCTGGTGTGATAGACCCCAGCCTCTGTGGATCTTGTGCTCAGAGCTTGTTCCTGTGCTGCCATGATTAGAGCCTCCGTGCTGGTTTTCAGTCTAGCTTTGTCCAGCCAATGGCAGCATTTCTGGATATCAGCCACCTCCTCTATCTGCCAGTGGTACATGCCATGGAGGGGCCCGTCCTTCCATAATGGTTTCTCGCCTTCCTCCTCTTCCTTGGGTTTCTGCTGCCTGAGGTATTCACTCTACACGCTGTCAGTTGGGGCCATCTTATCCTATTACTAAAAGACATTTTCTGTTTTTCTTTTCTTATTTGGTGAATAGTTTTAGTATTAAAAGAATGAACATTTTTCTTAACTTTAACACAATCAGAATAAAGTTAAAAAACCATGATGAATATGGTTATTTTACATTACATTTGCTGAATCAAAGTGTATCAGCAAAATCTCTTTAAATTTTTTAAGAACTTTTTTTATGAAGGATAAAGGTTTTTATATATATAAAAAAAAAAAAACCAGCCTGTTGATAGTGGGGCCAATTAGGAGCTGCCAGGTTAAAGCCAACCCAAAACAGCTCACCCAAGGAGGGGCCTGCCGAGACTCTTAAAGGCACAGTACACACATATAAAAAACAATACAGACATACTGACACGCCCTGATTCTGTATATGTCCAGGGCTGTAACACCACTGAGAGAATATATTAACATCTTGATCACCTTGTTTAGACAGCATCAACAAGTTTTTGGTGACAATGATTTATTGATTGTTGAAAAAGATTTACAGCATGCTGCAGGTTAACGATTTACTATATTTGTTGTTGTGAAATTTATCTTCAGTAAAACAGTGCTGCTGTTTCATGCCCTTGTGTTTAGCTCTTTGTCCTTGGAGAGAAATCCTGCTTGTGCAAATCAACTCATTTTTGACTGATGGGGTGCAGGAGTATAAAGGAGAAGGGTGGTCCTAATGTTATTGGTCACCTTGATGGACACTCCAGGTTACTGCGTTAAATTCAGTTACACAGTGAAAGTGACATAGGCGCTGCTTGTGTCCGTATTTGTTTACATTTTGAAAGACAAAGTTTACCAAATTATCAACAGTTAATGTTTGATGCGTAGCAGTGGAAATGCAAATAACCATCACTGTTTTACTTTACTGCTGAACAAATCCTACAAACCAGAGCAATCTAAGTTAAGTCCTGAAGTTGTGAAGCCATGTCACAGCTTTCCCATTAATCTATTGTACAGTATTACAAAGCTTTTATGACTGAAAAAACACATAACGAGGATCAGGAAAAGAAGTGTGCATCAGAACCTCTAAGGGTCAAATTTTTACTTTGGCCAAAATACAGACATTTAAACCTTTGAACAAAAAGTTGCTCAGTCTGCATCAAACACATGTAACTGCACATACCATAACTGGACAGGAGTGCTTCAAAACGTGTCCTAGAATTATATGTTTTTCAGTATTAAAGTGAAGCCAGTGATAAATCAGTACATTCACTGGTGCACAGTACATCCCATGTAGAACAATTAAAATCATATGAATCAACTAACAAATTGTGGTACAGCTACAGTGAATTAGCTTCAGCGGTGGTGTCTAATTTAAAGACTCAACAATTATATAGAGTCTGGAGAATATTTTAATCCAGAACATTTGTACATTTTACTGTAATAAAAATGTATTTTTTACTGAATAAAAAAATTTAAAAAATAAAGTCAACTAAAATTGATGAAAATAGATGTGTGCTGCTCCAAGGCCCAAGACCAGATTGATGGCTCTACAACAGACATGACTAAAGTAAATCTGCTGGTTAGCTGCACAGATACAGTAAAACCAAAAAGCATAAAAACTTAACACAGCTAGCATGCAGCAGCTTCAAGGATTGTGCATAATTTACACAAAATGATAGCAACAGTGATAACTGTTTTATTAGACACTAGTTCAGACAAATGTGCTACTAAAGACAGCCTGTAACATCCCCCTCTCCTGTCCACTCCACAGATTGACTGTTCAGAGAATATGTGATATTATTTAGATTAATTATTACAGTGGCGCCTGAAACTACAGTCAGTGAAGCTTTACAGCCAGATGTGTACAGCTGCATTTGACTGATCAAAGTGCACTCAAAGGCAGCACTCAAAGGCACCTTTTTTTTTAAGAATGATGCATTCTTCTCTTTATAGTGATTTTTTTTTATTATAAAAGCTATGTTGTACACCAGATTAAGGGGACAGTTTAAAGGATTTGTTCAGCAGTAAAGTAATCCAGTGATAGTTATCTGTATTTCCACTGCTACACAGGAAAATAATAACTGTTGATAATTATTTGGCAAACAATTTTTCCAATTGTAAACAAATAGCAGTGCAAAGCAGACAATCTTGGTGTGAAATGGCTTCTTTTTGCACGTTCTAGCATGTGGCTTGTTGAACTTCAGGAGCGAGGAACTTAACTGCACCTGTGAAATGAAATTATTTGCTATGATTATGCGTTTTCTCAGGTGCAACTTATGACATAAAATAATTTCATAGTTTATAGATAAAATTGTGGTTAAAATGTTTTCTCTTCATATTAAACAGACCTTTCTCTCTACGATCACCAAAAAAAATGCTTGGATTGGTTTAAATGACGAAGAACAGGAGGGAACATGGAAATGGGTAGATGGAACTCCACTGACTCTGGCGTAAGTCTTCACTTTGGTTCAGTTCATTACTTTACTAGTTCATTCATTACTATTAAATTTCCAGAATATTTCCAAATTTGTTAAACCCACAGATGAATGCAGATTGTTCAGCTTGCATAATGGTCAGTTGAGCCAAACGGCTTCCCACAGCTTAAAGATGCATGCAAATGACTTGTTTTTTGCCACACTGCGCCAAGGCTGTAGTTATTATTTCAGTCAAAATGTTTGTGCAGTCTGGGCTTGTGTGTTTGTCTGTATACCTTGTGTAGTAAAAGTAAAATGAAATATATATTATCTTTTATTTTTATCTGAAATTTGGTGATCTTGATGTACACTGTATTTATAAAAACTCAAAGCTGCTGATGGAAAATCAGTCTGACAAAACTCCTCACACAAACACCAAAGACAAAGGCTCATTTTTCCCTCAATAATAATAAAATAATGTTGTTGTCACTGACCTGCTAGGTACTGGGCAACAACACAACCTGATAATGGTGGAAAACAGGACTGTGCTTATGTCACAAAGGATGGGAGAAGGTCTTGGGATGATGGTTGGTGTTTGACAGATAATCATCAATGGATCTGCGAAAAAACACCAAACCCAAGTAAAGTTTCTTTAAGATAATTTACTCATAAATGTTTTGAAGTTTTATCGCTTATTATAATTCTACATTTTAATTGTCCTCTGTTTTATTTTATAATATGACATGTTTTGTTGTGGCTAAGATAAAAACTTGTGCTAGTGTTTAATGTTTTCATTGTTGTATTTGTTAAATGTTTTATTAGGTAGATTTTAAGTTTTATTTTGTGTTATATTATGATTATGATTATTATTCTTATTATTGAGTCTCAAGTGAATAAACTGTGCTTAGATCTTTGTGATCAAGTCTTTGGAGGACTTTACTTAATTAAACAGAGATCAAATAAGCATTGTTATACAGTTCAGAAAAAAAATTCTTTAATTTAAATATTACTTTTCTGTAATTTCATTCAGATAAAAAATGTCCTGTAGGATGGAGCTTCAACCATAGCTGCTATCTCCTCTCAGGAAGATCTGGTTCCTGGGATGAAGCCAGAATGGACTGCATAAACAGTGGAGCAGATCTGCTGGTTATTAACAGCCCTGAAGAACAGGTACAGTGTTTATGTATGTGTGTGTTATTGAGATGTAAATACATTTTGAAATTCAAGCTCCTATTTTTAATGTAAATAGCTTTTTCTGGTTTTGAAAAACCAAGAAATGTTTCTATTAACCCTTCAACATTTTATCAACACATATATAGACATTAAACACTGAAACAACTATAATTCTGTCACAGTGTGAGACAGACACTTATTAGATTAGACCCTTTTTATTTTTGCTGAATACTTTTAATTTCAAAGTATATATTTTTTGTAGTGTTAACACAATCAAAATAAAGTAAAAAAAAAATCACGAGCGTTTTAAAATGTACTATTGTGGAGGTATGTAATAACGACAGGAGAGGTCTCTGTGTCTCACTCCAACTTTATTAACTGACTCTC